CGTCATTTGGCAGATATATTGTGCTGCCCCAATTTCAAATGCCACCTCCGCAAACTGCGCCTCGATTTCACAGTGCCCAGGGAGAAGTGGAACCTCAGGCTACCGTATTCGAGGGAAGTTAAGATCACCCATAAGCAGGAAGCAGGGTCGACTCATGTAGTTCCTGAAATGCGGCAACCAATCCAGGTATCGACTTCGCGGGCTGCGATAAGCCGCACCCACAAATAGTTCACCTTGTCTCAGGTGGATCGAGCACCATAACTGTTCCCACAGGCTACCTATGCTGCGGTAGGTGTGCATTAATCTCCCGCACAGCGAGAATCGAATGTATAACAGCAAGCCGCGTCGATCGTTTGATAACCCGTCGCACCGGAAGCACGAGTAGCCACTGATCTGGACTTTCTGGGTAGTGATCTCACGATGTAACCAGGTTCTGGTCAGTCCTAGTAAGTCCGGACGACGAGAGGCAACGAAGTGAAATACATCGTCACGTTTTTGCATCAAACTACAAAGCTTTGTGAAGGTTACGCGCAGGTCGCGGTAAGAACCGGTGGACGTGTATTAAGCGTCATTAATCTGTTGATCCAGGTTCGGCGGACCCGGTAAACTACCCGAAAATTTACAATGTAGAGATTGGTTTCTCCACTATCCGTCTGCTGCTTCAACTCTATGATAGCGGACTTCAGTTTTTCCCTGTCCGAAAGATCCAAATCGGGACGAATATGGATCTTTAGACAACTTAGCCTACGGAAGTGGGATAGTATCAGCCTCGGACTCGTTGCATCAACAAACGTGAGTCGCAGAGGCCAGGACTCCCCTTTTTCTCTTTCTAAGACGGGTGATTTGCTTCACCCGCAACCTCTGTTGATTCATATCGAGAAACCCATCAATCAGGCTCTGTAGAAAATCCCCGTTGTGATAATAACGAGCCTGAGGACTAGCATCCGTCGATAGGCGCGTGAAATGTCATATGGTTACAACGCCGCTGATTGCCGACAGTTGTCTTCTCTTTTTTGTTTCGCTGCATTCTCCAGAGGCCTTCATCACCTGCGCTATCGCACACCGGTATGTTTATGTCCGTAGAACGCAACACAGGCAGGCCAGCTGAGGCACCAGTAATGGGTTGATATCGCTCTGGAGAGACTGCAGCCGGTGGGCACGTGGACTCGTTCGAACATACAGGCAGTCGGGTTTCCGCTTGTTTGTATGAACCCACGGAGCTCCTCTCTATGGAACGTTTCGCCTGTCTTGTAGACTCGCGCGGTTTCTCCACTGTTTGTGACTGCACAGTGGCTTAGCATTTCTTGCGTAATATTTGGACAAAGTCATGCTGGATTGCACGCAGCAGTTTAAAAGGATCTAAAGACAGAGCAATACAGCAAATGTGGAAACTTACACGACACATAAAGCATGTAACAGCATCGGTTCCATGCCCAACTATTTTGCAACAAGTGCCACAGGGAATCAGCTTCGTCATTACGGATAGCTCAGCAGATGTGACGGTAAAGGTGAAACATTGAACGATAAGTACACGATGCAAATACCAGAATAAAACATATGGATACGAAACTAATACACAATAACCAAATTCAGAATCGCAAAAGGAACTGAATTTGACAAAAATAAACACGAAAAGTCTAACCTGCACAAAGTAATGAACAATGCAAACTGGCCTGTCAAACAAAGCGAGAAAAGCTATCCGGCGAGTGCTACACATTGTCGCTAACGGTAGAAGAGCACCTTCCGGTGCTCAATGGTTTGCTACCACGCGTCTCAAGCCAGGTAGCCACTGGACAAAGTGGTGAAAACCCGCCAACCCCCAACTTCGGCTGGCCATGGTCGCAGGTGCGTAATATAATACGGTCGTAAAACACCTATGCATTATTCTAAATCTTCTAAGGTTGTGTGTGACAGGCCTCAAGCAGGTCCTAAGAGGTGTTCGCAATCATACTCCCGAGCTGGACTTGCTCCTCATTGCCTTGTGAGTCAGGCTATTGAACCAAAGGCTCGGGGTGGAGTCCGTCAAGCGAATTTCCATGCTCCCCACTGCCTTGTGGGTCAGACTGTTTATTCAAAGGCTGGAGGCAGGGCACCTCGCACAAAACCCTATCTCTGAATAGGCAGCCAGAGAGTATCATCTACCTCTTGGTCACGTCGACAATATTCTCTCTTCTTCTCTCTCCCCACCCCTATGTTCTTCCCCATCTATTGAGTAAGTGACAGTTGATCTCACAGCCGCTGCCAACAATACATGCAGCTGCCCCAACAAACCTAGTCGCAGTTCACATCGATTCATTTAATTTACGTACTCTGGGCCAGATCGGCTAGAAGGCAGCACTAACTCTCATTCTTCACACTCTTAGTATTGATGAGTAGTGTCTCCGAAACGCGCATACAAGACAACGGCGTTGTGACGAATCTTCCACTTCCTGGTTCTGTATCTGACGACAATGAGTATACTGTTCACGTCTCTGGCGATACTAAGACAATGGCTCAAGGTATTTACTACTGGATACCGGTGAACAGCTGCATGTGTGCAGTCTGATTTCGAATCTATATCGGAGTTTACAAGAACCGTCGGAAGACAAAGTGCCTTCTCATGGTCACAGTATATGCCCCTACCGAATGCAGTCCAGAGAGTTTCAAGGACAATTTCTATCGTGAACTCTCATTTCTTCTTCAAATGGCGAAGAATACTGGCATCGTGATTGTTACTGATGACATGATTGCCCAAGTGGGTCGTCTTTCAAAACCTGAAAAACACCTGAGAGGCCGTTTCGGAGTTGATGAACCCCAAACAGACAACGGTGGTCGATTTCTGCAAATGCGCGTCGACCACAACCTTTACCCAAGCAGCACTGCTTTCCAGTACAAACGTGCAAACCACGTCACCTGGTGCCCACCAAATTCCCCAATGAACTGAACCAAAATTGACTACATTACTTTCAGCTACAGACGGCACACATCAGACAGACTGTCAATTTGGAGCACGTGCTTGGATCCCAACCATGCTCTAGTGCGCGCACGCCTGGCGCGCGTTCTCCCTTCAAAGAAGTGCCTGGCTTTTAATCTTCTTACATGTAATTTGAACTCGGAGTCTGCAGTCTAACAATATCATAACGAACTGGCCCACAATTTGCCAGGGATAAATGAGGTTGGTGAGCCGAAAGCTGGATGGGATTATCTCAAGTGTGTAATGAAGAGTGCCTTTGACGCCTGCATCGCATCCAGTATAAGATGTCGTAACTGTGAATAGATCGCTGAAGCATCGATCAGTTTGATCGAAGCACGGAACCTGGTTCCAGTGAGCGCTGAGCTTTAGCGGGTTCGTAACCCTGAAATGACGTCGGCTAAGGAGTTTTCGAATCGACCGTCGATGTGTGGCAAGAGTCCGTGAGATGGGGAAAGTTAGTGCTATTCCAACTCATCCTGAACACAGGTCCGAGAAAGCCATCCATTAGCGAGACAATAGCTTGGAAAGATGAACAGTAGATCCATTTTCAGCGTCGTCGACTAGCACGCTGGGTTCAACAACTTGAAGAGCAGTTCAAGTGCGACAATACCACTTCCTGGTTCGCCTGAAGTGACGTGGGAAATAGATGTCACATCTCCCGCTTTGGAAGAGATTTGAAATGAGCTTTCCGTGTCGGAACGAAACAAGGTTCCTGGACCTGACGAAAGATAGAGGTGACTCCTTACTGACTGAACAGGCTTCTCTATTTAACACAATTTGGGACACTGAAGAAGAGCCTTCACACTGGCGACCGTCGACTGTCATGTCCATCTTTAAGAAGCGTCAGCGTACTTTGTGCGAAAATCATCGAGGCCCTGACCTCATTCACATTGCTTACAAACTTTTCACGGACACCATTCTTCGACGATTTATTGGTCTCCGTGAGAATCGAATCCCTGAAAGCCAGGCTGGATTACGTCCTGGTCATGGTTATATCGACCACACGCATACTCTTCGCCAAGTTTTAGAACAGACACGCATACAGAAGACCGATTATAGTGGATTTCCTTGACTTGAAAGCCGCCTTCGATTCTATTGATCGCAACAGTTTATGGCACTGCCTCCTCATGAAGGGCATGCCATATAAATTCCTTTCCATTATACAGTCTCTTTACCGTGACTCCTGAAGTCGTGTCAAGGCTCATATATATTTGCAACAGTCTATGATTAGACATGGAGCCATTGAAACTCATGGAAATTAAAGGAAGGTATATATGTGGTAAGAAAACCACGGTTTCGTCAGAGAGCACGATACTACCCAATTGCCAAAGGTGAGAAAGGGTGTTGACTTAGGAGACACCATCCCGAGCCCTTGACTGAATAGACTGTCCCCAAGGCAGCGTAGCGAATTCAGTGTAAACCCAGTGTAAACCCGGAAGGAATAAGACCGGGAGGCATGTGGATGGGAGCCACGTTTCATCAACGGAGCCGGCCCACACTCCTTCACAGGCAAACACAAGCACGCTCTACTTGAGAAATCAACGGCACACAAGGCGGTGGCTGGACCGTAGTCCGCTCCACACTGAGTGCATGGAACCACTCTTCGAGCCGAGCACGACCACAAGGACCGTTGCACCCGTCCCCACCAGCAACGACCAACTGTCTCCTGGAGCCAGATGGACGATGTAGTGGGTAATAGACAGGTAGGCACCTTGTCAACATGCACATCAAGCGCAGCCACACTTGGGATCTCAAACAACAGCCAATCATTCGAAATGTCGATATCGAATAAAGTAAACGCATATGACGGCATAAATACTCGTTAAATGAGCACATGGAAGAAATTGGTTATACGTTAATCCGCGATAAGTACAAAATGTCCGAAAGTTATTTTAAAAATACCACGCGATAAAATTACGCAAGTTTACCACAATTTGCATAAGCGATGTGTACAAGTTGGGAGAAGATTATCAAGTACGCAGAACAAAGCAAATAAATTTAGGTTGATGGATAGCGCAGTCCTGTTAAAAAGTGGAACGCAGCCTACCTGTGTCACCACGGCAACTGATCTGCAACATGCCCGCAGCTTCCGTAGCAAGATACAAGTGTTTGGGTTGACGAGGGTGAAACCCAACTTCAAAAACACTGCGTCCAGCACAGGCCACCTCGCTCAATGGGTATTGCTCAGCTCGTATATCCCAAATGTACGCCGCTGATCCGGACCCCTCAACGCCACCTACAGCCAGAAGATGCGATTGTCCTGGGTGTCTGCTGAGGCAATGAAGTGGTTGTGCTTCTGAAGGCCTGAAGTAAAAAGAGTAACATATTGAGAGAATCTATATTAAAACTGAACGAGAACATCGTGGTTTGTCGGTCGGGACAACACAGTATTCAGTCGAGAGTACTGAACTAAGAAAAGCTCGTTCGCAATTTCAAGAGTGCAGCTGATGTAGGGAGAAGGCATCAATAGTACACCGCTGCGCCGCACGAGTGCTTCGCTACCGCTACCGGTCGCGCACGGATCACGGATGCTGCGAGGTCGCCAGTATCCACGCGGATTCGAACTAATAACCTTCACATTGCAAGGCAGACGCCTTACCCTATTCGGATGGCGGCCGAGGAAATGAGTTACAGAATAAATAACAGCCAAGCGCCTAACGGTGATAGAAAGTATATCAGTGACTGAGCCCAGTTGAAGCCATTGGGATGGAATGGCGCGAAGAGATCAGGGTGTAGGTAAAACAATGGACGCAAAGGACCAGGTTAGAGTGCACAGAAGTCGAATGCGCGCGAGAGAGAAGACAACGCTATGGAGTTTTCACGGATACCAGACAAGTAATCAGAGATAGCACAGCGGAAAGCGAGTCTAAATTCAAAATGCATTCGACAACAGTGTTGGCCAAATTATTATAAAGTTATTGGATTCAGCGAATTTTTTCATGTTTCTTCACAATTCTCGTAAGAATTAAATGACTTTACTGTAAACTGACCGCATTTTAAAAGAAAATATATACCGAGTAGAAATTCAAGAATAGTTTACCGTGATACTCTGACAAGTTTCAAAGAGTTAACATGCAAAGGCATGGAGTGGTAGAGTTTTGCAAATGATGACAAGTTGGTTAATTTTACATTTACAGAAGTTATCGAAACCGACGGTGACATTTTCAGCTTAATTTGTTATTTCCTAGTACAGTCTACATTTCTGGTTTACATTTGTCTGGTTTTGGATCAATTAATAACTATATTTAAGCACATGTATTGTTAGATTTCCAGATCTCTTTTTAAGTAACGACACAACCGTATTGATCGAGTTTCTCGACTGTATTAGCATATTAATGGGTAAATTACATGACCTGACTTCTGGAGAGGGCGCGAAAATTAAAATTTTGTTGAAAGGTGTTAAAGGATCAGAAATTGCTACCAAGGTTGTTGACAGCCCAACATATGTATGCCAAATTCGAAAGAAATTGCAAACGCATTCAGCCCTGGCCCCTAAACGTTCCGGTTAAAATGGTCGCAAAAGAGTAACAACAACTCGACATGAATCACTTCTGTCTAGGGAAGGCCTAAAGAAGCGCAAGGCATCTGGTGGACAGCTGCAAGGTATGTTAGAACAGCACAGTGTTGCAGTAAAATCCGAACATGTAAGAAGACGACTTTTGGACTCTGGACTTCGAGCTTGCAAACCTCTGAGGAAGTAAAAGTTGCTCAAACAAATGAAAAAAACGAGTGGGATGGGCAAAACAAGTTGACAAATAGTCAAAAGAGAAGTGGGAGCTGGTAAGAGGCAAAAGCTCTATTTTAATAAGGATTTTCGTGAAAATATTGTGCCAATATTGCTAAGGTATTTCCAACAGCTTTTATGTGTTTTATTTTAGGTGGTTCTCAGCGATGAGTGTATCATCCGGTGCTCTGACCAGTAATCTCTACATATCCAGCAATTACCTGGAAAACAGATGAGGGGAGACTGTATCGTTCAATGAGTCAGGCAACCCACTCAGTTCATGATATGGAGCTTTATGACCATCTACGAAACTGGACGGCTCTGCATCGTCCATGGTAGCATGAACCAACAGCAGTACAGAGAACTAATGGAGCACCAACTGATCCCGCAGTCTTGTAAATGGGCAAATAAAAAGGATTTGCAGGGACAAGAGACTTCATTTTCATGCATGACAGTGCTCCATGTCACAAGGGGCATGAAGTCACCCGTTTCCATGGGGGGTTGTGGAATAGAAGTGTTACCATTGGGTTGGTAATAGTCATGACATGAATCCAATAAAGACCTTATGGGTGATTCTAAGGTCAGAGATGAAGAAAAACTAATAAAAATAAGCAGCAGCTTATTGAAGAAATTATAGCGATCTGGGCACGGAGTGAAAGCATGACTGAAGACTGCAAAAAAACTCATTCACTTCATGCCGTTGCGTGCGAACTCTAAAAATTGCCAAAGAATCATTTACAATATACAAACCTTGATAAATTTCTAATATATGTATGCTTTTCCTGAAAAATACAATCAGTTTACAGATAAAGCTTTTGATTCTTACGAGGAGTGTGAAATAATATGAAAATAGTTTGTTGAATTCTGCAAATTTATAATAATTTGGCCAACACTGTACATACAACAATAGTATGTTACCTCCTCACCGTATTTTCAAGACCGTCGTGTCAACAGATACAGGTGTGTATAATGCTTCGCATCCAACAAGAATCCTTCGCACACCGAAAGAGAAGTAGTACTATTCAGTTGCCAACCGTTGCTTACAGATAGGGGAAGTGTCAAATCGACTTCGCTATACGAGCAATGGCCATCAGGAAGTGTGGAGGATTCAGGCGTGAGGTGCATTTTTACCAACTCGAGAAAAAAGCAAAATGACCGGTGAAGCACATCAAGTGACAGGTAATACAGTGGAAAAAGGGAGATGCCTGATTGTTGGGACCGATGTCAATAAATCAAACCGAACGCGTAACTAAGCGCCGCTAATCACAACAGTGAGCAGGTGCTTGTGGGTCTCTCAATTCTAACCAGAAGTCTAGCGATGCAATGTTGGTACACCACAAGGCGACCGAGTACATGAGCCCAAACAGTTGGACGAAAGAGAAAAGTAATTTATTGGTTGACTGCGAATGCAATTACACGAAACAGGATAAAAGTAGTTTTGTTTGTTGAACAGAAACAGCCTGTAACGTGGTGACAATGTGGGTTCGGAGAAGCGACACCATGCCGTGATGCGCAACCTTGATGGGTGGTATTAGGATGGTTCGTCACTTGGAGTTCCGACTTTGCAAAGGATAAACACGAGTCCCGTGTGTTCGAATCGCGTAAACAGATCAAAAAGTTAACTGAATCGATCTGAGGTGTTCGAAATTAGCGCGAATAGTTAGTGCATAGGCGAGCGACGTGGCTTACCTCAAGATGCGCTGCTGCGGTTGAGCGAGACCACAACGAAGGTCCCACACTTTCAATTGACCCAACTGATTCACACTAGCGAGCGTGGATGCGTCCACTCGTTCCAAAGCGTTCACTGAGGTGATGTCAGCACCAGTTTGCACGATGGCTGCAAAGGCACAGGAAGCAAAAGGGAAAGTTTCAATACGTTGCACGCGCACGACGGTGAAGTTAGGCTGCTAACATAATGGTCAGAAAGCCGGGACGGTGGCAATTTATGGCGGCAAGGCTTTTGAGAGTCTGGACAGACAAATCTTAAGGTTAGATTGTGCAAAGACAAAACGCAAACTAAAGAACAACTTCGATGGACATGTAAGCTGCGGACATACAGAGGGTTGGATATACGAAAGTGCAAGTCACAGTTTTCGCTCGAAAGCCGGTGGAGAAATCGTTGTCACCATAAAGAAAAGTGGTGCGACCACAGACTCTTGGCCACTGCCACATCCCATCTTTTCGTCTTCCTATTTTACACTAACAGCGCCAATGCCTTTGACACATGAACCAAATGTAAGAAGCGAGTACATCTTGTCCGATTACCATCATTCACTTTCTCATTTAGCCAACTCCTACCATGTGATGATGTAGCCGCCTTTCGGTGACCATCAAAGTCACATTTCCTGGCTGTCTACTACAGAACCGGTCAAGATCGGCAACGGAGCTTCCGGAATGCGGCGTCACCTCCTTTGTTGTGTCGGAGCCCCGCGATTGCTTCCACCCACCAACGGGAGTGAGAACACAAAAGACCAGGGACAAAGACTCAAGGGTTGTTTTACATAAAAAAACCTCTTCGTTATAAAGCAGAACGCACGAGAGAGAAAATTAACCAGAGTTCGGAAAGCGTATGGACAATTAAAGCCAATAAAAGACTGAACAAATAAGGTACCAATCAAGTGCACGCAACGAATGTAAAGTGAGAGTGATAGCGTCAGAGTATGGCTGCGATCTGAAGGGAAAAACAGCGACTTCGAATGGCCGATAGGGTTGGCAAATTAATGCATTAACACAAACATCAGTGGACCACCAGAGCAAAACGAGTCTTCAATCATGCACGGCCACATAAGCGTACCTGTATTTCTATTGCTCCTTTATTCTCAACCCTACAGATCAAAATGGTAAATAAATAAATAAACGGTATATTCCTCGACAATGCGATGCACAGTCCAACTGATAATTTCGTGAACAGATGTGGTACCGTTCGCATGTTACATAAATAAATAAATAAATAAAGCTTTTATTCTCGACAAGGCGAGGCACGCCTTTACAGGCATGATCATTTTGACAAAACAATGCGTGATCAAGGATGTGCAAAAATCCGATATGTTTGCCATAACAGTGCTTGTTTGTGCAGGGGGTAAGTATGTAATTGTGTGTGCGTTTATGTAGCTGTGTAGGTTGCGCTCGTAAATGTGCTGTTCCATTCTTGAATGTTTGCTATCGTCAGCAATGTGCGAGTGGAAGATTGGTGTCCGTGGGTTGGAAAGGATTATCCAGATATCCACGGGGCAGTGACTTTATTTTGTGGCGAGCCACGACCGCCACGTCACAGTGTTGTTAAGCAGACATTTGTGGTTTTTTATAGGGAGAACGCTTGCCAGGCGAAAACCCACCACGTCCTGGAACACTACCGCCGAACTATTAGCTGGAACGGGTTAAACCCGAACCACCCAGCTGGCACCACGAGGAGGTTGTTCGGCTAGCCTTGTTATCAGCTAATTTCATTCGGTTTTAGGTGCTTAAATTCCCACCTCCCAAACGACTAGTGTTTAAATCTATGAAATCGGGGCGCGAAATTATGTACATATTCTGTTCTTTTGCAAAATTTTCTTTAAACCATTCCACTGTATTGCAAAAGTCCGTCATTGTAACGGAATTGTTGACAAGTTGCATCGCCAATTTGCTCTTCGTGCCTTTGCTGTCTCCACTGTGGATGCTGCTGAAAACGAATATTCCGGTGTGGACGAAGTAAGAATAATTTGCGAATCGGTGGTAAAATGTTCATCACCATTGGGTTGGCATTAAAGTACTGTCTTGAGCAGACAAACGCTCTATACTTTGCGCAACGATGATGGACACAAACTGGGCGTGGCTCGCTTTGAAATTTGGACATCAGACCTCATCACGAGGGTAGCATCTCAGATGCCCGAGAAATACACATCAAATGTGAAAGAGTTGGAGCAGTGCACCAAAACCCCTCAGCCGTGAGCCGCGTAGTTGTGGGTAGTGGGGCGTTTGTCACATGCGGCACCATCAAAAGAGAGAAAAGCAAAAAAAAACTACCAGTATGCCAAAATAAAATAGAAAAGTGGGGAAAAACAGACGGAACTGACGTATATTCATCTAAAGGTGAATACATAATGTTCCACTCTGGTAGAGACGAAGCGGGGGCTTACTGCAGCTACAATTGTTGCAAAGCACATAGGGAGCTGATCTCGGTGCTATCCGGAGCGTCGGCACAGCCTGAACGCCTGATCAAGATCTGTTTCTTAATTTTTCAATGAGTTAAACACCGAGACACGTTCTCGTGCTGAACCCATGTGATAGTCTGGTATCACCAAAGCGACTAAGTCCATGGAGGACTCAAAAGCAAGCTAAATCAAATAGTTTTTTATTCTATCGATATCACGACATTCTAGGGTATTGCGGCACAGTAGCTGAGATGTTGCCCACCTCTAGCTAACGTGTATGATGATGACGATGGTGACGACATCCTGGGAAACGGAACAATTAAAATGTATTTGAATGGCCTACTCAACGATGCCGTATGATAATACGAATTAAAGCGACTGCTGAGGGAATGGAACACGTGGTGTGCTGGGCCATGTTCGGGTAGTCGTATCGACAGGATGGATAGTGAGGGATATGCTACGAGAGGCGGTATATTTAAATCCGTACAGTTCCATCAAAATGCGACCAAAGCGTTAAACTAAACATACTACCTGTGACTTGCCAATATATTAGTATTCCTTTGCAAGTATTCAGGTAATATAGTAAAAGATGCCTGGCCCACAATAAAATAGGATTCACAAATATAAGATGTTATTCTCAGTGAGTCACCTTTCTATGAATTGAAGAGCTGCGTTGAGTTTGAATCCACTGTGTGCTCTGGCAGACCGTTCGACACATTGGCCACTCACTGTGTGAGGAGGTTGCTACAGATCCGAGATCACAAGGTTACTGTGGTGTCCGTATGTGATGAACGCTGTTCGCAGGTGCAGCAACGGTACCATCATGAGTAATTCACGGAGCTGTAAAACACTGCAGGCCATGAGATAGATTTGCACCCGAGGATAGGACGTTGTACAGCCCGAACTCCGTGTACGGGTCTTTGCGCATCGAACATCGTAAACAGGAGATAACTTTGATAGTGAAGTGTCGGACCTGTTCGGCTTTCTGCGCCTCACCTCGGGTGATCGGACAATATGTGGCCAAGCAGTACTCTAGTATTGGTCATAGGATGAAGAAGAGGCGAGTGAGGACCTCTTCAGATCGTCCTCACTCATCTCTCTACAGGTTAGCTGATGATAAGAATACCTCAGCTATTGTGCCGCAATACAGTCAAATTAGATGGTCACAGAAATAGTATGAAAAAGAAACGAGAAGAACAAAAGCAAATCAAAATGTTTTCACGCATTGCTTTATATATTGCATAGAGGGAGAGATCGTAGTTGTAGGTGGACGCTAATTGGTATGGCGAGGGACACAGAATCTCACAAAACAAACGGTACTGAGGTCAGTCAGCAAGTGTATCCAAAAACACGTGTTTACCGTTTTTCTGGTCTCAACCAGGCAGTTAGGAGACCCCAACCCAGGCTGATATCCAATTAAGAGTCATCGTTCCCTCTAAACAATTCACCGGTTAGCTTCCATCCTCTTCTTCCATCCACACCACGGTCGCGCAAACTACGCAGGTCCAGGGATTGAGTGTGTTGACCTGTGTAACAAGTGGCCTAGCCACTGGTGCAGAGCGGTGCACTTGCCTTTCCTGCGCAAGAAACAAAGTGCCGAACACGCTCATTGCTCAACCTGTGTTCTCACCAGGTTAGAGTCACCAATGGTTGAAGGCAAGTAGCCTCTTCACATCTGTTGATCTGATGGGCCAGGTTTCGCAACCGTGTAGTAGGGTTGAACGGATGGTTGCATTGAAGATGCTACCCTTCGGCATGAGAGCAGTGTCACGCAGGCGTCACAAGTGGGGAAATTGAGCGAAAGCACTTCCATCTTTTGCTATATGGTTAGGGACATCATCTCCTATTCTATGTATTTCTAATGAACAGGAGGATTTTTGATGAATTTAATATTTTGAAGTACACATGAGTAGGAGATTTTGTTGTAATTCACTGAGAGTTCATTGCAACAGCTGATAAACCAGATAGTCCACCATATGTCTGGAAAGGCACTGGACTGCAGTTTCAGCCTGCCGAGCTTCATTAATAGTGCGTGTCCATCGGATCCAGTGGCTTGCAAACAGTTGGTGGTCATGGTTTCAGAACATCTGGCTTCGCCAGCTGGTGGCTGTCTATGCGTTTACAGACATCTCCAGAGATCGGCACACACTAGTGCGTGGTCAGGGTCAAAGCTAATGGCTGGCTTGCGAACAACGTCCTCGTGGTTCCAGCTGGGTGGTTCGGGTTTATCCCGTTAAAGTAAACGGTTCGGCGGCAGTGTTCCAGGACGTGATGGGTTTTCGCCTGACAAGGGATTTCCCTATAAAAAGCCACAAATGTCTGTTTAAGAACACTACGACGTGGCGGATGTGATTCACCACTAAATAAACTATCTGCCCCTTGCCTCTGCCTGAGAGGCATTGTACTACAAGGGTGCGTTGAGCCCCTGGTCTTCCACGGAGCGAAAGGTGCATGAACCAACTAGTTGGTCACCGGCTCCCAACGGGTTGCGACGTCCTCACATCGCCCTGATGTCTTGTAGGTTAGATCTTTGATCAAAGAATCCTGGTATGGCCTCCTAAGACAACCCTCTACTTCGGCCTGGGCAACCGGGTAGTGTCACGCCCACACTGCTTAATACTGCTCCTGCTATGCTTATCATCTCTGCTAACTCAACTGCTCAGCCTCCACTCACAGATCACCCCACCACCCGTCCTTCACCTAC